ACCAGAAGTGGCCGAACGCATGACGGCGACTGGAAATAAGAGAGAATGGTCTCAAAATAGCAGGTTTGCTGAGTATGGTACGTCTGCTGGTAAAAGGAAGGTAAGAGAGGCTATTGAAATGAGTAGATTAGGGAAAAGGTGGTAGAAAGTTGAGTAGGAATTATTTATGCTTGCTTGATGGATTGAAGGAGAGAGAGGCTGTTGAGCCGCCATTTAACTTCATTCACTTTCGTCCAACATGTTAGATTAAGCTCACCAACCATTCCAGACGTACGGGATTACGCAGCCCCAGTAATGCCTTTCCTTGGATGGTTGAACCCTAATGACCCTAAACTGACAGTTGGTTTCGTAACCTGACTTACACACTTACAAGCCTACATCTCATTATTTCAACCATACTTGCTTACGGACTTACGCAATGTCAGTCATGGTTTTTTCATTAACCTTTGTTGATCACTCTGATTTAGGATGGTATTGTGTACAGATGTTAGTACACATACACACACACTCGAGCAAAAGTAGCAGAAGCAGTATGAAGTATTATGAGTATATATAAGAGGTAGGATAGAGCCGGGCAGTCTTCCTCACCGAGTTGTAATGTGAGGCTTTTATTAGAATGACTTCCAGCTCTGTTGATCTCCATCATTTGATAGACAAAAGGTCTTTCCGTTTTCACCCGAAACGAGAGAGGAGGCCACGTGGATTGCGTCAACCTGAACGTCGCATAAAAGACAAATGGCTGCAGTACAACGAGATTCCTCTATCGTCTTCTGATGGAATCGACCTACGAATCTCTTCTTCATGCACTTTCAAACGAAATGAAGGTCTTCCCAAAATTGTTCTTTTTATTTTTAATAGTAGTATATGATTATATGTTATATATTTAATAATTATATGATAAATTGTTATATATTATATCTTATATATTTAATAATTATATTATTATTATCCTTCCACACACTACCCCCCCTTTATCTTCCCAAAAAAACAACATTCTTTTTTCATAGCACCACTTCTCTTGACTGATTACCTTTCTCTCAAAATTTTACAAATTTACGTACTACAAAACATATACTAAGCCAATGCCCAACTTAGCTAACAAACCTATCCTTCATTCTACCAACAAAACTAATACAAAAAAATATAAAAACCAGCAACACACAAAAAAAATACAATATAGTCAGCCAACCTCAAAATAATATTACTGTTCGTGTCAGACCTATCCCCAACAAAAACAAAAAAACTTGACTAACAAACAAAAACGGAACAACCAACAATATTACCACTGTTTGGGGTGAAACAACCCATTAAACTGATCATTTTGTAAATGAACCGAAACAAACATTAAAATTATATGCAATAAGTCAAAAGGACTTTTGTGGGAATGAGTTCATGCTTCATTTTGTCCATCATATAATAAAAGAAAGCTCAGCTCGTTTACATCTCAAAATAGGAAGGATGTTGAGTGAACTGCTTCAAAATGAACGTCGTATCAAAGCCAAACAGCCGCAGAACAACGAAACTGATCCGTCGTCTTCTGGTAACTTTGACCTACGAATCTCTTCAGCATGCACTTTCATACTAAATTAAAGTATCGTCAGCATTGTTCTGATGATCCGCTTATTCAGTAAGTCACCTAACTTGGAGCAAGATGACAGGAAGGCAAAATCAGTCTTCACTCCGCGGCAATCCATTTTCGTTTTCGGTTAGAACTGATTCACAAGTTCCGTCCAGCCAATTTTCCCAATAAGAACTATGTTCACCCTTGACAGTAGAAGGCTAATGAACAAAAGAAAGTTGAATTGTTGCACAATAGCTTGAGTAGGACTCAGCGTGGCTTTCAACTTCACCTAACCCTGTTGAGTTGAAGTATCCTCATCATTGATGAGGCACGCTTGCATTTAACCGAACAATCGACTGCATTACTTATATTCATAATGAGTAGTACCCATTCAATATCGAAGCCTTTACTATGTGAATATAAGTAATGTATAATTCCTCGAAATTTGCAGCCTAACGTGTCAAATACGAGATGCCTTGGTAGCTTTGAAGTTCGAGTCTTTCCTCCGAGTCTGTATTGCAGAAACGTCCCCGCAATCAGGACTCGAAGTCAAAAATAAGCCGTTTGGAGTATTGCTGAAGCTGCTGGTGAGACCAGTTCCAACAAGGTCGACTACAGCCGATATAAGAGTACCTTTTACAAAGCAAGTTGAAGCGCAATTCAGTGCACTATCGTGCAATAGTGGGAAAATTCACTATCTGTCGTTTATCCCCTTAAGTGACCTAGGATGATAAAGTTTTTACTAAATTATAAATGAGATGTATTCGCTATATTTCGTTAAATTGATAAAGGATTGATTGTTTAAGTTTCCCACAAAGATACTAATATACCAATGAATTTCACATAGCTTTGCTTTCTAAATGGCATTCTCATCCAGGCTGAAATGGACGGCAGGTCTGATCTCGCCTGAACTGGTCTCATTAACATCTTCAGCGGGACTCGAAACATGGCAGGACAGCATATGATCTCGGCACGTTAGCCACTACGCCACACTGCCGCGATTGAGCATGGCGCAAGTAAGGCCAGGCATTTTCTCAATTCACATTCTCTGATGGGATTGTCAATGGGAATACCTACTGGGAGGCAAGGTGATGTGAAATTCAGCGGAAGTATAAGGTCTACTCAAATCATTGTGGGAAAATTGAACCACCAGACTACCATCACCTTAGAGGAAATAAGGGGAATACAGATTTTATATTCAAGCGAATGTGTATGTGCAAAACGAGTAGATATTTTGAGCTCATCTGGTTTTCTGAATAATTTGTCAATTCTGTTATCCTCCTGCTTTGTGCACATGTATCCCGTCTGTGTTTACTGCCGGACGGGTCATGATCAGTTTGAGCAGCGGACCGTTGACTTGCTACATTGTCGGTGATGTCGTCTCGATGACTCCCTCGCGTAATGCAACAGTCGACGTTGTGAGACAATCCTTCTTCGACAATGTACAAATTCACCGTCATTTGTGGATAGAACTGGGGACCTCGTATGTGTTTTGCGTATGCAGGCTGCTTGTAAAAGCGACTGGATAATGTACCAACGCGTATTCGAGAGGCATCAACCGGATATGTCTTAAAGAAACCTTTCATCCATTTTGTTTAAAGGAATAGTCAGATAGCAGGCCTATTGACTATATTTCCCAACAGCGAATCCCACAGTCAGCCGGGACTACATGCACACACACTTCACATGTCAGCCTCACTCAGCGCCAGTCCCGATTGGCACTCGAACAATTCCCGGGCCTATTATGTGCAATAAAGACGCACACAACACAAGTGAAACCACCCGTCGTATCAAACTCTAGCATTGTTTGTGTGTCTGTGTGATTGTGCGTGTGAATAAGGAAACAACTTCCCTTTCGTGGAACAGCTGAAAGTCAAATGTCCACTTAGGTTTGGCGACAGATTAGGGGACAGACAAAAATATGAAATGTATGCGTTGTAATTTGATAAGTAGGTAATAAGTAGTGACATTCAGTAGTATTGTGAGGCCCTGTGATAGCATTGTGGGAGAATTCACGCTCAGACCTTCACCACCTTAAGACGAGCCAGGGTGAATGCAGTCCTCATTCACCATCTACGAATAGTCTCGAAATCCTACTTATTACAATTACAAGTAATACTGTCGATTGTAATGGTAAATTGAGTCTGCTTCATATACAATGCCACTATGAAAAAATTACATGGCTGGTGCTTGGCTTTCCTTAAATGTTTTAGAGCCTACTCGTGATTGTGTAAAAATGTAGCTTCAGTTCTTTCCACTCTCGACTATCTGGGCGGACAAAAGTTTTCTTCAAAGTCTGGAATCGCAAAATTAGGAAAAATAATTAAGTGGGATTACAGCTGGGCATCTCGTTTGATTTTACCTTTAGGTGCCCTTTTTCGTAAATGATGGAAATAAAGCATATCTGGGCCCCGCTTTCCGATGGGGCCAACTTGTTCTTCAAAGAGCAAAAGTCCAGTGAAGCTGGAGAAAGATTAAGATGACGAGTCGTTTGTCAACCACCTGAAGCCGTCTGCCTTGCCGCCGGTCTTTTGTCGCTGGGACGCGCCAAGCGGCGAATCGTAGACTCTGCTGTACCAGAAAGTCTGGTGTACTGCTTAAACCAGCCCCACATTGTGGCGATTCTCGAAGCAATCGGCCGCCGCCGAGTTTCCTGGACAGCCAATGCAGTGACAGATACTTTGACATTTTGTTTGGCAAAGTGAAAGTGACGAATAAATCAGAATATTGACAGTTTTAAACGAAACGAAAGTTGTGGACACTCACTTTATGTGAAGTTGCATGACGAAGCGATTTGTTTTGGTCCATCTCCCTAAAAGACGAAGACTGCTTCCTGTTATTCTGCACCAGTTTGGCTTTTCTGCCAAGTTCCGGTTGACACTGTCCACGGGACATCCTCACACATTTCGGGGGAAGATGGATTGAGTGTTGGTTCGTCATAGCATTGGACAGACATTGTCAGTGAGTGGGTAGAAACCATTCTTGCCGAAAATTCCAGCTAACACAATAGGTCAAGAAGACTGGTCGATTTTAGCTCAAATTATGTACTAACTCGCAGCTAAATATTTAATTATATTAATATAGATATAAATATATAAATATAAGTATTAATATATAGATATAGATATAGAAAGAAAGAAAGAAAGATAGATAGATAGATAGATAGATAGATAGATAGATAGATATGATAGATAGATAGATAGATAGATTGATAGATTGATAGATTGATAGATTGATAGATTGATAGATTGATAG